ATAGAAAAGTCAATGAAACAAAATAGAAAGTCCAGAAATAAACCCACTAAAGTATATTCCAAATGAAATTTTACAAAATTTCAGAGGCCATTATAACAGAAATAATAGTTTTGTCAATAAATAGTACTGAAATCATTACGCATCCATTTGTAGAAAAAGTAACTGCAATATCTTCTTCATATATTATACAAAAATTAACTCAAAAACCTAATGTAAAACAAAGCTATAAAACTTTTTAGATACAACTCTAAAAGTACAATCTGTAAAAGGAAGCCTGACCCATAGATCATAGAAGATATCAAAAGGGAAATTATAAAGTATTTTGGATTGAATGAAATCAAAATGAGAACATGACATATAAAATTCACAGAATGTCATACTTAAGGAGAAATTACAGCATCAAACACTCATAATAAAGAAGAAAAAATGGTTCTAATCAATGACTAATACTCTATATTAAGAAACTAGAAAAAAGAGGAAATTAAACAGAAAAAAAGGAAACAGACATAAAGAAAAACGATAAAAGATCTGAAAACAAAGAAGTTAAAAACATGAAGCCAATAGAAAAAAAATCAATGACACCAAAAGCTATTCTTTGAGAAGATGAGTAAGATTAATAAGGTTCTGGCCAGATTGGTCAAAAATTAAAGAATACATCAATAATCAATATTAGAAATGAGAGGAGGGGACATTATTATAAATACTACAGTATAAGAAGGATAGTAGAATATAATGAATAATTTAGGTCAATACATTTTACAACTTGAGATGAACAAATTGTTCAGATACACAAGCTATATATACCAAATAAGTTGATTATATTGTCCCATATCTTCCCACAAAAAATAAAAAAACCTTCAGGTCCAACTGGCTTCCAGGATGAACTCTACCAAATATTAAAGAAATAAATAATGTCAGTTTTATGTAAACTCTTGCTAACATTGAAAAAATAAGAAATAGAGAATATTTCTCAACGCATTCTGGGAGGTCAGCATTATGCTGTTAAAATTAATAATATTACAAGGACTGAAACCTATAAACCAATATCCCTCATGAACATAGATGCAAAAAACTGAAAACATTTTAACAAGTTGACTCTAGTAAAAGTAACATAGGGCTTCCCTGGTGGTTCAGTGGTAAAAAGTTCTCCTCCAAAGCAGGAGATGTGGGTTCCATCCCTGGGTTGGGGACATCCCCTGGAGAAGGAAATGGCAACCCTGGGAAATCCCATGGACAGAGGAGCCTGGCAGGCTGTAGTCCATGGGATCACGAACAGTTGGACAGAGTTAGCAACAGACTTAGGACTCTGTCTTTGAATTTGAAAGAATGATACATCAATGGGGTTTATTCCAAAAAAAAATGCAAAGCTGGTTAAACATTCAAAAATTCAAATCATTCCACATTAACAGACTATAAAGAATAAAAGCATAATTATTTCAACGGATGCAGAAAAAATTTTGGTAGAATTCGGTGTCCATTCATAATAAACACTGTAAGAAAACTAAGAATAAAAAGGAATTTCATCAACCTGATAAAAGATATAATCAAAAATCCTACAGCTAACATCTTACTGAGTGATGAAATGTTTTCCTCCGAAGATCAAGAAAAGCATAAATATCCAATCTTACCATCTCTATTCAAATTGTTTCAGAAGTCCTAGCCAGTGACAAAAGACAAATAAAAAATAAGTAAAATTATCTTTATTCTCAGAAGACGTGGTAGAACATCCTAATTATGTTAGTTGCTCAGTCGTATCTGACTTTCATGTCTGTGAAGCTGCTCAGTTGTGTCCGACTCTTTGCGAGCCCATGGACTGTAGCCTACAAGGCTCCTCCGTCCACGGAATTTTCCAGGCAAGAGTAGCAGAATGGGTTGCCATTTCCTTCTCCAGGGGATCTTCCCAACCCAGGGATCAAACCCGGGTCTTCCGCATTGCAGGCAGACACTTTACCATCTGAGCCACCAGGGAAGCCCTTTTCATGTCTGACTCTTAAGGAATAAAGCAAAAAAAAAAAAAAAAAAAGACTATTAGAACTAGTGAGTTTAGCAACATTGCATGATACAAGATTGATATCCAAAATCAGTTTCTGTTGTTCTTACAGTGAAACAGTTGCTGTAATAGCAATTAAATCACAGACTCTAATACCCAAATTCATCCCATCTGAAGCCACGTTTTACATGCACTGTATTTTGTATATTTATTATATGTCTGAGTTAGAGTAGGTGATTTTATTTATTTTTTCCATCTCCATGACTTAAGTATTTTGTAAGTGGAAGTTTTTACCTGAGATGATTGTAATACTTCCCTTACACCTGTCAGAGCTATTTCTGCCTTGGATGCCATCGGCAATTGTACCTCTTCCCACACTGGGAAGCAAAGAGGATAGGTCTTCCTCCAGCTCCTGCTCCAACTTCTAGACCACTCTCTGGGTGCAATACCCTACCCCAACTGGTCACTGACTGGGCTTCTTCCCTGGGTCTGTCTTTCTAAGAGTGGACCTCACTGTAGTATGAACACTTCAAGGCCATTGGTTTGGCCCTGGGCTTCCCTTGCTGTGGGCTTTCAGATGTCAGACCTACAGACTCAAGTGTTTATATGACTGTCATGATGTAGAAGGAAGATTTGTGTGGATAGGATGAGAATGGGTGAGCCAGGGGCATTGCCCAGCTTTTCATGTTGGCTGACATGTCACCAAGGTTTACAAGAATCCTACATTCAAACCTGGCCTTCTGGATGTTGAGAAGAACATTTGTCAAGGGATGTAGATAGAGCACATTTTACTTTAACTATTTCTTAAAACTTTTAAACGTTTGGATCCATGGCAAATGGGCCACCGTTTATACTCTTGTTCCAGGCTCTGCAGATGTCTGAAGCAGGTCTGTCTTTAAACAGTAAAGCTTTAGCTGAGTAACTACTATGTACCTAATATTCTGTAAGTTCTTGATGATGTCTACTTTTCTGACATTTCTAGACTAATCATTTTGATTTTTCACCTACCACATAATCTCAGCTTAAACAATTCCTAGTCAAATAGTTCATTCCTGTTCATCTCCTTCCCATCAACAACTCTTGTTTGTCTCCATCATCTTTTTCATTGCAGATGTTATTACAGTTGCTGATCTAGCAGACATTTATGTATTTTCTTGAATGTAGTTTTGCATTTTCTTTCTCAGCAGGTGCTGTTCTGTGTAGGAGAATTGTGGGATATTTTTCTCATTTCAATTGTGCCTCTAAACTATCAGTTTCTATTTGATTGAAAAAAAAAAAAGGAATATAGAATTTTTTTGTAAGGTATAAAAATAGTTTAGAATTTTAAAAGAAGTACAGGCAGGTCACAAATTCTCTAAAATATTTACACCTGTTGCACTGATGAATCATCTGGCTTCTAGTAAATCAATTATAATTTATTTGTTTATTTAAAATGGCTTAACCAGGATTAAAAACATTTTAACACATTGAATCCGAGATGAACCTGTTCTGTCGCATATTGTAGGTGTTAACATCTCAGAAAAGCAATTACTAATAACTCCTCAGGGGTTTACTTCAAATGTCACTTTTTCCTTTGCTATTTTCCATCTTCTAAGTAATACTTTTGCTTAACTTTGGCATTCTTTGGCATTAACAGTTGAAGAAAACCATCCTAATTAAAAAGGTTGGCTTTTGAGATGAAATAGCCTGTCTGTTGCATTTCATCGAGTCTCTTTAACTAGAAAATGTAAATATTTTGAGATGATATACTTCATTTCTTGTATTTTAATATTTGCTTTAATTTGTGCCTGTATATACGATGACAGTAAGTAATCTGGCTTTATAAGTTTGTATTAATGTCTAGATAAAGCTACAAAAAACAGCTGCTACCCTCATCTCATTTTTGTCTTTTTATCTTTTATCTCTTTTGCTTAGCATTTGTATAAATTGGTTTAACTTTCATGATAAATCATGCCTTGAATGTGATGTGGGCTTCTTAGTAATTTAAAAGTGGCCATTTGGGATCAATTAGGTCTTCCTTTAGTTTACCCTGAAGCCAAAGAATATGTGTAATATATGTATATACATACATGTACATATATATATATTTAAGCAAAGCTAATAATCTTCTATAAATTTTTCCCAGCAAGCTGCAAAAAGAGCAAGAAATGCCTTAGCTATTATTATCATCATCATTAGCATAATGCTTGGTTTATAAAGTGTCTCTAAAAGAAAACTGTTTCTTAGACCAAGAATCAAATAGGAATCAATAATGTGGAAGGGAGTGGGAAAAAAGAAGAAATAAATCATCCCAAGCGCTGTAGGATCTATAGTTTGTAAAATATTCAGCTTCCAGACGGTTTTTTGGAAGTGGGGAGCCATCCAGTTTTAAGTGTCTGAAAGCCAGAAGACTGCGTTCTCTTCCATGAAAATCTGTATTGTTCCACCTGGTTAGGGTATATTTTTACTTAAACGGGCCAGCATTTATTTTCGGAAGGGAAAGTGATAGATGGTGGCTTCCTGCTTCCATATGTGCTCTTCTGAGCCCGGGGAACAATCCAGTTGACTGGAAAAGGAGAATGTGACCAATCCTCCCATCCCACTATTCAGCCGCTGGCAGGGCTCAAGGCCGGGTGCCAACGCTCTGGCAGGTTTAAGACTATTTCCTGGCAGCCATTGGCTTTGAGAGGCCATATGACTCTGCCTCTGTCCGCCTGGATTTTGTTCTGAATTTCTTAAGGGCTTGCTTCTGAGCAGCATGTCGGCAGCAGCAGGAGCCCTGGGATTCTGCGAGGCCATGTTCGCCAGGCACTCTGGAGCCCTGAGCAGCCCCGGCTCCTGCCAGCCGCCAGCTTCAGGGCTTCAAAGGAGGGCTGGGCTGGAGGACCCAGCATGCTTTGCAGCAGCTGCCACAGCCCCTCTTTGAAGCACCATGGTAGCCAACAGAGAGGATTCTGTGTTACGTACAGTATGACCCTGGAGGTGCCAGCCAGCTGCTGTGACTCAGCTAAAAACAGGGAACTCGCTGTAAGAGAGAGGGCGAAAGGGGAGAGATTACCGAGGGGGAGGGAAGAGAGGAAAAGCAGCAGGAGTTTATGATGCCGGAGTTTGTCAAAGGGCTCAACACGCATTTCTGAAAGAACTTTCTGGATGGGCCAAAGGAAGCCTCATCTCTCTGAGTCTCAAATCTGTCTGGGCTACATGATGCTTAATGGCCTGGTGTCTAAGGAAAACAGGAGGCAGCCAGATTAGGGCAAGCCAAGAAAATAAATTCTCTGTCCTCTGATTCTCAGGTGCCCTGAGGAAAACACGTATGAATTCGCTCTTCCAGATTTCATTTGTGATCAAACACACTGATGTAAAGAAACAGGCTCACTCTGTGTAAACATTTTTTTTCTTTTTCTTTTTTCTGTGGTGTCCTTAGAACATGAGAGGTTGCTGTCTGAACTGATCATCTCAGAAACAACTCTGAATCTAAACTGTCAAGAAAATAACACAATATGAGGGAAATTTACTTTTGAAATATTCTATGATGTCCCTCTCTTTGGCTCCGAACAGTTGTTAAGCAAAAATTGATGCTCAGCTAAAGGCAGGTCTTTCAACAGCAATCTCAGTTGTATCGAGTGAAACATTTGCTAGGGGACATTGCTCAGTTCAAAGGTAGAAATTTTTAAGTGTATATAGACCATAAGATGCAAAATGCAAATTGGCTGAGAAAACAAAGGCAGTCTTGGGAAAAGTGCTAGAGAGGGGACATCGTGGAGAGAGAGGAACAAGATTTGATTCAATCAGCATTTTAAAGCAAAGACCAAGGTCCTGTCTATGAAGAAGAAGGTGAAGAAGGTGTTTCTAAGATGATGCAATGATCAGTCTGGTTGCACAGAGAAGAAAATCAAGTCTATGTCTTTTATCTACCAGACTTGAGATTGTGAGTGAGAAAGAAGCTTAGGGTTAAGACACTAGAATGATCAAGTTTGCTCATGACAAGGAAGAAGGAGCATACAGCCCATCAGCTCAGGCCTGGGTGTGTCTGATCCTGGCAGAGTTTCTAAGGTGATAAAACCTTGAGCAAGTGGTGACAGCAATCCTCTGGGAAAGAAACTTAGTCTCTAGAATTTCCCCAGCGATTTTTCTTCTAGTCTGTTCAGCCCTCATGGAACACGTCAAATTGATAGCAAAGAAAGAGATTCGAACCAGGTCTAAGGCTTTGATGTACTGTTTGGGTTTTTTTTTAAATTTATTTGTTTTCCAGTCCATGCCAACTGGATAAACAGGTAGGTTTGATTTAAGAAGAATAATTTTCCTCTCAGATCCAATTCACTTATATAAGCTTTTGAAAACTGGATCCTCAAACTTGATGGAATTTCTCAGATACCTTATTTTTATTGTGGAGTATATATGTACCTGATATAGTGAGAAAAGGAGAGGAGAATATATGCTAAGAAAAGGAGATATGCTTAGAAAAGGAAAAGAGAATATTCATGCTAAGAAAAGAAGAGAATATTTTCTTTTTTTCAGGGGCTCTCTTTTGAAATTCTGTTTCCATGTTTAATATCTCTTTCACAGGTCTTCTGATTAGCACTTAAAGAAAACTAAGATTACAAGAGAGCAAGTTAGAGGTGGAGGGAGGCCTCATTTCTGCTTAATCCCAAAAGTAAAATGGTATGAAAGGAAGAATATGATAAGGAAAGGAAGACTATCAGAGAATGGTATGAGGGAGGAGCATAGAATTGGCAGAATTAGGAATTCCTCTAAATCAAAGAGTAAAAGAAAGCACCCAGTGATATCTTCCCCAGTGCCTTCCATCTTGCCACTTGAAATAAGAAAGCCTTGAGAAGGAACAAAAATGAGGATTAGAAGCTGAATGATATGGCTGACAAGCAAGATTGGTTATAGCCCCAGGTGAGAAGGGGAGGATCAATTGGCTAAAGTGCAAAATATATTCAGTTTTTTGTGACTCATTTATTCCAAGTGCCATTTGATCCCATAGGAGTCCTCGCCTGATGCTGGATATCTCATGTGTGGTTTAGTAAGCAACTGCCACTCCTAGTAATTACCTTGCAAATTTTAGGTCCCGGTACTGGATTGAATGGCAGCCCTTCAAGAGAGTCATGTACAGTTTGTGAGGATGAACATCTATGAAGACACATCTTTGCAGATATAATTGTGAAGGATAGTGAGATGAGCTCATCATGTGTTAGAAAAGGCCCCAAATCCAAGAACAGGTGTCCCTGTGAGAGAAAAAAAAAGAGGAAGAAGATGCACAGAGGGGTAGGCCATGCGAAGACCGAAGCAGAGACTGGATTTATAAAACTATAGGCCAAAGAGTGCCAGTAGCTTCTAGAAACTAAGAAAGAGGCAGGAACAGACTTCTCAGGGGTTCCAGAAGAAACCAGCCCTGCTGACACCTTGACTTCAGACTTCTGGCCACCGAAACAGTGAGAGAACACATTTCGATTGTTTCAAACCAGCCAGTTGGTGGTCATCTGTTATGTCAGCCCTACAACAGGATGACAGACTCTCTTCAAAGCCAGCATGGCTGTGCTGAAGATGTTGTTCTTCAGTTGCTCAGTCATGTCTGCCTCTTTGTGACTTCATGGACTGCAGCATGCCAAGCTTCCCTGTCCTTCACTGTCTCCCTACTGAAGATGAGACAGAGTTAAAAAGCAAAATGGATTGATTTGAGCTGATTATAACATCTGTCTGGGCTAATTCCTCCAGAAACTGTAAATAGATCAGTAAATCAATTCAAGCCACGTGTCAGTTGAGTCCATACCGTGTGCTAAGCACTATGGTAAGAAGCCAGGCAATCATCAGCTCGCCAGTCCTTAGGTCACTGATAGTCTAAATGTCCACAGAAAGTTTTTATAGATCGGTGAAATCCTCTGGGAGATGGAAACTCACACTTGGGGGATATAAGCACATCGGAAATTCTCTTGCCCACAAGGTGAGGACCCCAGGTAAGATATCCACAGCAGATGGTAAAGAGCAGGTAGGATTTGTCAAGACCACAATGTGCGGAGGCAGTTTTGCCATCAGCCTCAGAATTGCTCTTCCTAGGTCTCTTGAATGGCAGTGCTGTTTCCTAGGTGGTGGTTCCTCAACTGCTCTTGTTGTTGTTCAGTGTCTAAGTCGCGTCAGACTCTGCGACCCCGTGGACTACAGATGCCAGGCGCCCCCTGCCCTTCACTATCTCTCAGAAGGATATCTATGAACACTTTATGTCTTTACCTGCACTCACTTCACTGCGTTCTAAATGAACATCTGCTCCAAGGTGCGTGCGGTTTCCCAAGTTCAGCTTGGAAAAGGCCTGTGAGCACCACGGGGGAGACGTCCCAGGAGGCGCCGTGTCTGGGAAATCTGCTCTTTTCACAGCCGGCGCTGCTGTTGGTTTTGCCTGCTGGCTTACAGGAACTGGCTTTTACGTGTCTTAATTTAGACAAGAGCAGTATGGAGACGTATATATATATACATATACTTTTCCCCCAGTGTCTGAGGAGAGCAGTGTTCTGTTGCACAAATACAGATGATTGCCAACAGCCAGTAGGCACGCAGCGCGTCACAACCCACCGACATGTCACTTTGCAGCGTGAGACTGGCCACTGGGACCTCGAGGTCTTTCCTGTGATTGGTGTAGACTGCTCCTGTGTTTGTTTAAATCTGAACTGGGCTTCCAGGTGACGCTAGTGGTAAAGAACTCTCCAACCAATGCTGGAGACATAAGAGACTCGGGTTCCATCCCTGAGTAGGGAAGATCCCCTGGAGGAGGGAACGGCAACCCACTCCAGTATTCTCACCTGGAGAAGCCCATGAATAGGGGAGCCTGGCGGGCTATAGTCAATCAGGTCATAAAGAGGCAGATACAACTGAAGCAACTTAGCACACGCACGTGCATACACACACACACACACACACACACACACACACACACATGCTCATTCCATAGCAGGGGAGGTGAATCTTCTTTCTGGTGCTTCCAAATGTTTGAGAAAGCATCATGTTATCAGAATCCCCAATCCACATGGCAAATAAGCTAACAAATAGTCTAGTCTAGCCATCTAATAGAGCTACACTATATGCCAGGTATTATGCTATGTGCTTCAGGAACCTTTCATATCTACCACAAAGTGATAAGGTCAGAGAGAGTAGCAGTCTCGTTTTAGCAGAGGAGAGCCCAGAAACAGAGAGGCTGTTATTTCCCAATTTCACATGATGTCACAAGTCAGTTCCCCCAGAAGCAGAGCCAGAAGTAGTCACTTATTTAGGGGAAGACTGGAATCTCAGAGTCCACTGTGGAGCTCCGAACCACAAGGCACACTATGGAGCTGACCCCACCTTGAGACAAGAAGAGGTCTCCATGTCAGAGCCAGCCACTGGCTCTCAGGAGGTCTTCACGTTTTTGCCCAAGGCATTTCTCCGAAGTGCGGGGTGTTTGTGACCTCAGTTGGCAGCCAATAGTCATAACAGGTGCTGTGGGTGCAAATGGAATCTCGATGTGGCCATCGCAGCATCCACTACTAGTAAACATGTGGAGGAACTTGGCTTCAAATCCTGTGTGACTTGAAAACCCAGGTTCTTAAAACAGTACTAAATTGTAAACACAGAATTTCTTAACAGGGTTAAAAAGTGCCATGTTTTTTGTCAATTTCCAACTTCCTGGGAATATGCAATCTCTTATCGTGACTCCCAGAGAAGTGTCAATAAAACCTCATGCCTTTTCTTTCATGGTTTAAGACGACCTAATCTCAGAGCTCTTCTAGGTGCATCAGAACCTAGTGTCCACTCCTGCCCCCAAGCTACTTGCCTTCCCTCCCACTTACTCACAGTCTGTGCCTCCCACCCTCCAGCCCCCAAATTCATGATGAAGAACAGAGCCTGGGCAATGGCTGCATTTGGACATGTGTATCCCTGCTCCTTGCAACCAGCAATAAACAAGAAAGAGTGAGGAGAGAGAAAAACTTGTTAACACCATGCTGTATCTAAACAAGCAATCCCAGATGGCATCCTTTATGCCTTCTGCTTCTGATAAGAAAAGATTGAGTAAGGAAAATAAGCAGCAGCTGACAAGCCATACCCAGCATTAAGACCAACAGGACGAACAGACCCCAGCTTTGTGATCTGTTCTCAGTCATGGCTCAGCACCCAACCCAGAGGCCTGTGCGCCTTCAGACACCTTCAGCTGTGCACTCTTTCATGGAACCAATAGTCAAGGAAGGTTATGGGCCAAAAGATTTTTCTGTCTAGTTCAACACTTAGTTTCCTGCTGAAGACCAATGCATGGAAGCAGTAAGCTCATTTACTTAAGGGTATTTGTTGTTAAAAAGATAAGAACGAGGGTAGGATATTTTGAGAGAACAGCATCGAAACATGTATATTATCTAGGGTGAAACAGATCACCAGCCCAGGTTGGATGCATGAGACAAGTGCTCGGGCCTGGTGCACTGGGAAGACCCAGAGGGATGGGGTGGAGAGGGAGGTGGGAGGGGGGATCGGGATGGGGAATACATGTAACTCCATGGCTGATTCATGTCAATGTATGACAAAAACCACTACAATATTGTAAAGTAATTAGCCTCCAACTAATAAAAATAAATGAAAAAAGGAAAAAAAAAGATAAGAAATGCAGTTCACAAGTTCTTGATCTGGTCACTGTTTTTCCTGGAACTCAAAGTTGACTCCTGTTTAAATGTGTGTCATTCATATATGTACATAATTTGTGTGTGTGTGTGTGTGTGTGTGTGTTACTTAAGCAGCATTCCCGCTGCTTGGGTTTTTCCCTTGGCAACCTGAAGATAATAATTGTACTGTGGAGGTTTGGGAAGCATTAAATGAGATAGTACATGTTCAGAGCTTAGGAAATAGGAAAATACCTAACACACAGTAAACATTCAATGAAGTTAAAGTTTGGTAGAATTTGTCTATTGACTCACTTTCTTTGTGCCAGGCACTGGGGTAATTTCATACAACATGGTATCCTTGCTCAAAAAAACCTGAGTCCAATTGTTTTAAAATGCTGTCTTGGAATTAAATGTAGCTTATGACACTTCATTATTTCAACATGGACATTGTTTATGTAAAGTACAATGGGACATGAGTTTTGACAGACTCCTTCCGAGACCCAAGTCAGCAATCGTGTTTATTAGTAAGAGCATGATGCTGAGATGAATCAATAGACATGTTATAAAATGATGTAGAAGGAATACCTCAGTGTCGCCACTAGACAACCCATTATATCCTAACCAACCAAGTGTTGAGGATAGTTTTTATTTTCACAACTCAGTAAATGTGAAGTACTCAGAGATGGTGCTGAAATGATGCAAGAATTTTAATGAAAACCCTAGAACCAAAGGTCAAAGGCAATAGTGTGGCTTTTCATACAGATGGGAAACCCAGTTGAATTTGACATTCTCCCCTTCCTTACAGTTCCAGAATATGGCTGAATGTTCCATCTCAGCTAAGGGGCACAGAGATTTGACAAAAGAAGAATTTTATGATAGTCAAATTCCAGAAAGCAGAGGTTAGGAAGTCATAGATGACACAAATGCATCCTTTGAAAATGCAAAAATGTAGCAACTCTTTAAAAAGAGCTTATGATAATGGAATGGAAATGAGTCAGAAATATGCAAATTAAATTCACTTGAAACATATATGTCTTCAAAAATTAAGTGATAAATTGCTTTGTTAAATGCTTTTTGTGTGTGATTTACCACCCGCCCACCCCCATATTTAAATCCGAGTTTAAGATGTTTTTCCTAACCTCCAAATGCATTTTTAGGAGTGACTTGGAAGGTCAGAATGGAGGCATTCTTAAAATTGTGAAACAAAATGGCAGAGTTCTCAGATCTGTATAAAAGGAAAAAGAAAAATGAGGGTAGTTTAGTGTAAGTAGAGCTAAAGCAATACAATATCCCAAGAATTTTAGTAAATTGGGTGGAGATAAATGAAGGACTTACATGCTATTGTGAGCCCAATATGAGATGTTACTTAGGAAGAGAGAACTCTCCTCATCCAACGTGCTATTCTTAGTAACTAACATAGAGCTTCCCAGGTGGTTCTAGTGGTGAAGAACCCGACTGCTAATACAGTAAGAGACAGGAGTTCAGTCTCTGGGTTGGGAAGATCCCCTGGACAATCCACTCTAGTTGTCTTGCCTGCAGAAACCCATGGACAGAGGAGCCCAGTGGGCTACAATCCATAGGCTTGCAAAGAGTCAGACACGACTGAAGTGACTTAGTGTTCAGACAACATAGAGCTTAGCATGCTGTCCATTCATGAAACACTTGTTGAATAAACCAGTGTGCGTTTTCCTGAAGCCCTCAACCGTACCTTCACTGTAAGTTGTCATCAGAGATGAGCCTTAACTCTTCTAGGTATTCAGAAATTACAGTACATTTGGTTGAGATGCTGTTCACTTAAAAAAAAAAATAAAAAACAAAACAAAACCTAGGACATCTGATAGTCTCCAGGAAGAGCTACAACCATGCCGAGAACAACAGTGGATTAGGGAAGCTAGGGTACAGCCAAAGATGGATAGACTGAATATGGGGAGAAGGAAGTTGAAGAATTCAAAGTTATTAATAAAAGTTAAACTTCCCCAAACTAGAAAAAACCCATGTCCCAAGGCTGACAGAGAGTGGAGGATGAAAAAGCCGGCACCTCATCAAATTGCATTCCTTAAGTCTCTGCTGGTTTTTGTATATGAATTATACCCAACAAAGCTATTTTAAGAAGCAAAGGGAGCCATGCAGTGAATGAGCAAGTGCCCAGTCAAGAAAGCAGGTATGTACAAGACTCATGGCTCTGGAAACACAGCAGCCTTGAACTCGGCAAAGCCCTGACTCAGACAGGGAGCTATGGATGATATTCCTGCTGCAGCAGGCATGAACACGGACCAAAGGGGACAACAGAACAGGACTCAGGGCCTCAAAGTCAGCTGAAAGAAGGCAACTGCATTTATTGGACTGCTTCTGACCCAGGCTATAGTGAAAGCTATGGTGGAAATCCAGTAAGCAGAGCTTAAAGGATCCTTGCAAACTGATACACATTTCCCCAACTATCGGTAAGTCCCCAGAGTATTGGTGATGACCCACTGCTCATCTAAAGGGAAAGTGATGGATACAGGACTTTCCAGTGTCTCTCCTCCTTCTTCCCATTTATTTCTTCCTCTGCACCGTGAATGTGGGAATAAATGAAGTGTGTTTTCTTTGCACAATTTCTCTCTGTTTGCTTAAGCAAACACATCTCTGATTTTTGTCACTGAACTTTCAGAGGCCTTGGAATACTCTGAGTTCACAATGTCAGCCACAAGAACCATTGACAAATGTATTTTCTCACCCTTCTTGAACCAGTTTGCTAAAGTAATTTCTTTAAAAGAAAAAAATACAGCAGATACTCAGCGATTATTTCAAAGAAGGTAAGACAGGAAGAACCTCTCCAGACAGCTAAACCAATTGCTTGCCGCATCCAACGACTCATTTGTAATTTCAATTCATAGGGGATTTGTGGACAGTTTCCCCGATAATTCCTCAAGGAAAATGGCAGTTCATTGCACCTTGTTCCACATGCTGTTAAAAAGTATAGTTAGAAAGTTCTTATGGTCCAAGGAAATTTGACTCTCTGGCGGTCATCATATTTGGTACTAGTTCTACCCTCTGTAAGAATGACATTTTTATATACATAAGCCTTTAAAATATTTGAAGACACTTGCCCAGTCAGAGAAACACAAATCCCCAACCCTGAATCATTTCTTTGGTGCATGATAATACCTAAGTTTGCGTATGTCATGATGGTCACGTCTCTCAAAATTCTGGTTATTCTGTTTGAGTATAATCAGTCTGTCAGCATCCTTTTGAAACTGTGTCACCCAGAAATAAGCTCAATTTTCCAGGTCTGACCTAATCTGTGCAGAGAATTTTACATACTTTTCTTCCGGACACCGTCTTTGATGCAACTTGTGATTGCATTAATTCTTTTGACTGTGTGTTACACACTTGACTCACCAAGTTTCCAATCAAGCTAAACCTTGAGGTATTTTATTGTACATGCTTCTGGGTTACTACATTCACTTTAGTCCATCAGCTTGAACAAATTAGTGAATGAATACAAGCAAAAATCCAAAGATCTTGAAAATGATATATGTCTTTCTTACTGATGGAAGCCTAAGTAGTAGATGACATTCAAGCAGGAAGAGAATAGGGAAAGATGATCTTTATAGTTAAAGCTGATTTTTTAAAAACATAGGTCTAGACTAATCTTGTGTTTCAAATTTATGAAAAGAAATTATCTGGTTCATATTTATGTGTTGCATCTATACTGGCTCTGACTTTTCATTTATACCTGACCTCATTTATTTATTTGGTTTTATTTTTATTTTTTTAATTTTTTTTCTTCATTTATTTTTATCAGTTGGAGGCTAATTACTTTACAATATTGTAGTGGTTTTTGTCATACATTGACATGAATCAGCCATGGAGTTACATGTATTCCCCATCCCGATCCCCCCTCCCACCTCCCTCTCCACCCGATTCCTCTGGGTCTTCCCAGTGCACCAGGCCCAAACACTTGTCTCATGCATCCAGCCTGGGCTGGTGATCTGTTTCACCCTAGATAATATACATGTTTCGATGCTGTTCTCTCGAAACATCCCACCCTCGCCTTCTCCCACAGAGTCCAAAAGTCTGTTCTATACATCTGTGTCTCTTTTTCTGTTTTGCATAGAGGGTTATCGTTACCATCTTTCTAAATTCCATATATATGCATTAGTATACTGTATTGGTCTTTATCTTTCTGGCTTACTTCACTGTATAATGGGCTCCAGTTTCATCCATCTCATTAGAACGGATTCAAATGAATTCTTTTTAATGGCTGAGTAATATTTAGATAATTATTTTAGACAAATCACTGCCTTCAACTCAGAATGTCTAGTTATCCAGGCCACAGAATGTCTTGCAAGCTAGCTTTCCCATTTCCTGAATGTTTTTAATAGGTTTTAAGCACAGTTGGGAATCTATAAGCCATTCAAAATTTGGTTGTTAGCCTTGAGCACTATATAAGTGAAAGCGAAAGTCACTCAGTCATGTCCAACTCTTTGCAACCCCATGAACTATACATACAGTCCATGGAATTCTCCAGGCCAGAATACTGAAATGGGTAGCCGTTCCCTTCTCCCGTGGATCTTCCCAACCCAGGGATCGAACCCAGGTCTCCCTCTTTGCAGGTGGATTTTTTTACCAGCTGAGTCACCACGGAAGCCCCGAGCACTATATAAAGTTTAAACCAAACTGGTATAAAGCAAGTGGTTTAAAATTGATTTGGAAATTTCTGATAGGCTTTTGCTTAAAGACAGATTTGTTGGTCTGTTTCCAAAAGATCATTTTTCTTAAACTTTGAAGAACATTTCTTTACAATGATGATTAGGAAATTGGTGCCTTACATTGTTATTTCATATCATATGCGTTTTCCTGCTTTTGCTCAAAAGAAGATGAAGTATCAAGATGGTGCTTTTATTGCTTTTTACATTAAGTGAAACAAATTCTAAAATAAAATTTGGCTAAAAATACTGAGTCCAAGGCTTACCCGTGTAATGAGTTAAGAGAAATCTATAAAACCCTATGCATGAGGAGGGTGATTGACCCCTCCCACTTCCTGCATTTCATGGGATTCAGATGTGGATCTAGAAGAGAAAAGAAAGAGACATACAAATGAGAGTGTGGAATAAACTCTCACAATTGAACAACCTAACAGGCTCCTCTGTCAATGAGATTTCCCAGGCAAAGATATTGGAGTGGGTTGCCATTTCCTTCTCCAGGAGGTCTTCCTTCCAGGCATCAAGCCCAGGTCTCCTGCATTGCAGGTGGATTCTTTGCCAACTGAGCCACCAGGGAAGCCCTGATAAACCTCTAGGTATCTTTATTAACACCTTCACAGTAACAGTTGTATGGAAAACATTTCCTTTAGTTAGCCTCCATATCAGAAATTTGGAAACTCTAGATTGTCTCTCTCCTTTAGCCACAGAACAGTGCAACTCACTTCGATGCCCTGAAGAGGAATAAACATGTGCATTTCAACTAGAAGCCATCAGTCCCTTCGAGCTCTGTCTGTCTGTCATGTGCAGATGACCAGGGGAAGGGTCCTCAGGTGAGTGCTCTGACAACGGCCAGGAGAAACAGTTTAGAATGACGTCATTGTAGAAACACGTGTTGATAAAAACATCTGCATTCTTATATATGTATAAGCCAGTTCACTCGTATCTACACATGCAGATAATTATACATCTCCAGGTTCAATTTGACAAAATAGGTCTATTGTGTGTGAACAAGCCATAGGAAATCTGCCTGACAGTTACAAGTATCAGGGAAGGTCTCGCGCTACATAATGAATCACTGTTGTTGAAAGAAATAGCACAAAACAGCTATTATTTCCTAGATGAAGGTGAAGCTATTCTGGCTCTTTGGGTGATTGTAAATAAATCTTTTGCAATGTTCTGGAACCCGATCAGCCAACAAGAGAAAGAACAGTTGTGAAGCTTCTAAGCTGTTTGACCACAGCCTGAGCTGAGAAGGAAAAATATTCTCTCTGAAAATCATCTTCCTTATACCTTCCGCATTTACAGGGCTTGGAACCAAAGTGGAACACCGCCCTAACTCCCTTTTTTCTCCTTATAAATGGAACAGAAGTGTTGTCCTCTTTACTGGGAAAAGTTCCCCAAAGTGTTCAAGTTTTCCTTTCATTTGACTGCAAGTAACAGCTTAATCTGGTGCCAACCGGCAGATGCACTGTGATCCCAGGCTCAAACAGGAAAAAAGTCGTGGCCAAGCAGGAGGAAGCCTCAGGGACAGAAGTGGGTACAAAAGTGTAGAAACAGGCTTCTCCGATGAATGGGCTAGGTATGTGGGGAACACGTGGAGCTTAGCCACAGAAGCACATTCATCTTGGATAGAGTACGTAAAAGATGAGGTAGATGCTGACCATCCCTGGCTCAAGATTTCAGAGAAGGTTGAAAGATCCGTTACTCCCTGTAATTTGTGCATCAAAACATCTGGAAAAGAAGGGGAAGGAAAGCAGGCAGGAACAAATGCCCCTGTTGGGAATTGCTGTTTTAAAAAAAAAAGAAGAAGAAAAAGATAACTTAGAGCAATGTTGATCAGGAAAAATAACTCTATGCTTGAAAAAGTCTGGATTTCCATGCCTGTGTCAGCAAAAAGTCCACTTCCCAGCCCGGCAGATCACTGACCACTGCAAGGTTCAGGGCCCCATGGAAACCTGCATGTCTTGCTAAGCCCCCTCTGGCTGGCATGTGTCATACTCTGGACTTTCTGTCCAGTCCAGTAGCCGTCAGACACATGCTGCTCTTTGAATTTAAATTAATAAAAGTCAATATATTTTACAAGTAGAATCTAAAAAAAGAGGGTACAAATGAACTTATTTATAAAACAGAAGTAGAATCACAGATGTAGAAAACAAATTTATGGTTACCAACATGTAAGGGGAATGATAAACTGGGAGACTGGGATTGATATATACAAACTACTATATATAAAGTTGAAAGTCGCACAGTCGTGTCCAACTCTTTTCGATTCCATGGACTGCAGCCTGTCCTGGGCTCCTCTGTCCATGGAATTCTCTAGGCAAGAGTTTGGGAGTGAGCTGCCATTTCCTTCCTGAACCGGGGATCGAACCCAGGTCTTCCACATTGCAGGCGGATTCTTCACCAGCTGAGCTACAAGGGAATGGATAACTAATAAGGACCTACTATCCAGCACAGGGAACTCTACTCATTTCTCTGTAACGGCCTATCTGGGAAATAATCTAAGAAAGAGTGGATATATGTATATGTATAACTGATTCACTCCACCGTACACCTAAAACTAACACAATATTGTAAATCAACTGTACTCCAATAAAATTTTTAAATAAGTAAAATTAAATGTATTTATTTACTAAGAAAAATTAAGAAATAATTTCTTAGCCATACTGACAACATTCAAGCATTCCATCACTATGGCTACCATATTGGACAACCCAGAATATTTTCAGCATGGCAGAAAGTTCTATCAGACTGCACTCGTCTAGAACATTGACACGATTTGTGAATTTCTTGCAGATTTCCTTGGTGAAGTACAAAAGGAGCAACACCAGCGTGGAGCCACCTGATATGGTGCTCTCCAGTTAACCTGTGGACAACGTGATGCTTCATGAAAGAAAAAAAAAAAAAAACTCACTTAAAAAATTCTCCATCGTCTATCCCCAGCTGAGAAAATAGGAATACTTGTGAAAGTTTCTGAGAAGTCCCACAGTAAAACCCTTGCTTGTCATTGTTTAACCCAACTCCTTCCAAGATAAGTTAAACACATGACCTCTCTTTACGAGACACCTATTAACTTTTCACAGAACTTGGGTTTCATGAAGCACTTCTTGAAGACTTTTGCCCTGGAAGGAGATCGAGCCAAGCCTCTAATCCTGCCCACCTAGGATTTCAGCAGACGATTAGGACAATTCTAAACTAGAGTAAATTGACCAGGGTTCTGACTCGAGGGATTTACGCTTTATGATTTTAAGGAAATCAACTTGGCAGGTATAAATTAGAAAAGCTCAGTGGTGAACATGCAACCAGGTACTTCTTAAATGTCATTCCTGGAGATACTGACCAGATACACACAGCCCTTTCTAAAAAGGTTTGTTGATTATCTACCCAAAACCGAGTCTATCATATAATCTATCCTGGCTGTATCACCCATAATCCCCTGACATGAAGTTCTCTTATTTCATAGAATTTACTGAGCCAAGCTTGTCAAGTGGAATTCCTCGTTGGATTTCTCTGTATACACGAGCTCCAGCGTTCTTAATCTACTCAACTGACAGAGACTTAAAATTTCTTAAGGAAAATAAAAACACAGTTTCTAAGCAAGCTGTGTTTTCTCAGTTCATTGCCCCAATGCTGGTGGCAGGGTTGTAGGGTGGGAGTGGCTGGGACGGGGGTTGTAAAGTAAAACAAAACCACTGAAATGCTTTGCTTTCCTCCATGGAGCAAAACTGGGATTCCTTCTTATTCCCCTGAATTTCTTTTCTTTTCTTCGCTCCTCTCCTCTTCTCTCTTTTCCTCCTTTCTTGTCTTGGCTTCATTTTCTTTTCCTCTTCCATTGAGTTGGTCTGATGGCGTCATTGCACTCCAAAGGCTCTTATTATCCAAGACAACCTCCCCAAAGAGTACGTCAATGAAAATAAATAGCTGCCTCCTCTCTCTCCTCTAAAAACATCAGCAGTTCCCTCTTACAGTTTTACACCCTGGCTTGTATACTGTGCCATCTGAACAGAGAGTTATAAAGTGAAATAAACTTGACATGGATTTCTGGGTTTTTCTCTCTGATGCCTTCTCACCTGAGGGATTTGTTCTTGCTTGAGGATCACCAGGTATAATGAGAGTTAATGCTAAAAAAAGCAAAAAGAAAGGAAAGAAAAAAGCCTCTGTTGCTCATGCCTAATGCCACTAACATGAAGATTCCTGTTCAGTACCATGCTCGTCAAGCCTCAGACTAAAGGCTTATTCAAGATGACAGCAGTATTCAGGTTAATAATGTATTTGAGCACTTTACCTTTAAAATGTAACATGGATTATGTCGTCAAAAGTAAATGATGTATAGTAAGAGAAAGCTGAATTAGAAGGTTTATGCTCATTGCTTGAATTTGTCTAGTGTTTACATTTGCTATACAAGCTGTGGAATTAAAAGGGTAATAATTTAACTTTTTATAGGGAATTTTTATAACAATACAGAGTGTTTGCACATTACCTATTGCTATAAATCAGCCACATCCCAAGAGAAGATGTTTGAAAATATCCCATCTCTCTCAGTGGGAAGAAATCAAAGTTTACAAATAAAATCCCAGCAAAAAAAAAAAAAAAAGTATCATTTTGGGCAATATTACAATAAGGTCATTTCCCACATGATTTAAAAAAATATTAGACAACTCTAAATATACACTGACTGTATTGTTCCTGCATCATCACATTAGTGCTTTATTCTGGGGCACTAATTCAATAGAGCCTCTCTTCGATGAGTTGCAGAATTTTGTACTTTGGCAATATAAATAGCACTACAATATAACTGGTTCACAAATCTTATTCATCTGTTGAAGACATGACCTGGATAGCTCTGCAGCAAAAGCAAGCATAACAAAACTATTTTGCTGAGGGAAAAAAAACCGCATGAGCCAGCAAATATAAAAGAAAGCTGAAGAAGTAAATATGGTGTTGCTGCCAATTCAAAATTATGCAAGTCAATGTCATCTAAGTGGATGTATTTTCTACTTTTGAGGCTCTTTTGCTTGAGAGTGAATCCAAGCATCTTTTATCCACTCAGTAACTAGAAGCAGAATGGATTTGCTGGGTTCCTTACTGAACTAATTTCAAAATAGCCTTAAATTACACCAATGTTTTTGCTTCTACAGATTGCACCTGCCTTTGTTTCTCTGGTGGCTCCGGGCATAGTTTTGTTTTTTTTTTACTGGACAAACCCCCGGAGGAGCGTTCTTTGTGAGAGCAGGTTTTCTGTAATCTCAATGCACCCAGATTCCAGGAACTATTCCCCCACTCTTCCCCCTTCCTTCCCATGAATCCTAGCTCTCCTCTAGCTTCAAAAACCTTAATCTGAGACGTATGTTCCATGAAAGGATGAAATTGAAAGAAAGCAGGAAATGAGAATTAGATGTTATTTTGTCCCTTTCCTTTCTAAAGTCGAGAGGACAATTTATTGAAAAGAGGTTTTATTATTTCTACTACGTATATCGCTATTTCTATCAATACTTTTAGGATCACACATATTCATTTCGGTGAGTCCTCCTGTAAAACCTTTGCTTAATCACGGAATTATCATTCAGTCTTGCATGGGCATCAGTCTGACTCTTTTTACCTGCTCCCCATTGTAGATGTTAGGAAAACAGTGACGCATCGACCTGCAGCAAATAATTAGTATAGTGTAAACACATGCACCTCTAATAGTAGCCAAAAGGAAGAAAAGGAAGATGTCTTCTAGGCTTTGCTGATTTCCTATAGGGCATTTTCACTGGATTCTTCAGAACAGTGTTCTGTCAGTCCTAGATTGACAATTAAGATGTCGGACAAATAATTACTAAAAGGTCCCTGCTTTATTGCTCCTAGAGGAGTATTTATTGTTCACCTTCCATGTGTTTTAGTTATATTGTGTTTACACGACTACAGAACTTTCTTCACATGCTGTTACATTTGTTGGTCTTTCTCCACATAGATGGTGTATTTGAAAGGCAGGGACCTTAATTATCTTTGTCTCAGCTTCTAGAATAGTACCTGGTATGTAGTAGACACTTAATACTAAACAAATATTAGTTTACATTTAATTTTTCCCAGTAGAGGCATGTGTGTATGCACATGTTTGTGTACAGGTTCGATAGTAACATTCAGATGAGTGATAATTTATTTTAAGCACATAAATGACACACACATATATATTGAGCATTTATATTCACTTTGTGCCCTCACACGTATGAACATATGGCAAAAGCAATGTGGGTATCAATACCATGCTTTGGTATTGAAAATCAAATCAATCAAATCAAACTTTGATTTCCAGCTACCAGGAGAAGTCACTATCTATTTTCTCTAAGACACAGCATACTCTTGTGGTTCAGTCTTTCGGTTCTGTCTGACTCGTTGTGACTCCATGGACTGCAGCACTCCAGGCTTCCCTGTCCTTCCCTATTTCCCGGAGTTTTCTCACATTCATTTCCATTGAGTCAATGATGCCATCCAATCATCTCATCCCATCACCCTCTTCTCCTCCTTACCTCAATCTTTCCCAGCATCAGCATTTTTTCCAGTGAGTCAGCTCTTCGCATCAGGTGGCTAACACATTGGAGCTTCAGCTTCAGCATCAGTCCTTCCAATGAATATTCAGGGTTGATTTCCTGTTGGACTGACTGGTTTGATGTCCTCGCTGTCCAAGGGGCTCTCAGGAGTCTTCTCCAGCACCACAGGTATATAAATTTTCTTAAATCATTACATTTACTTTGTCCCTTATCTGCTCAGAAATTTTCATTGAGTCCTCATTGCCTACATGTTAAAATCTAGATACTTTCACATTCTTTGTGACTTTACCTTTTCCACTTCATTCCCCATTATTTCTGTCCTCCACTAATCAATGCCCTGGACCTTGTTTATCTACAACTCCAACTCCACACCTCTGCTCATGCAGGATCACCACCCAGAATATTGTTTTCATCTTTGCATGTCCAAATGTACCTCTCCTGCATGGCTCAGGTGAAATGCCATCACCACCTTCTGGAAAATTTCTTGATCAACTAGTGAAAAGTTAATTTCTCATCTCTCAACACTTATAGCTTCTGCATCTCCTCCCAACTCTGATAGCATGTAGATTTCTGGCTTATTGGGTTTCCCAGGTGGTGTTAATGGTAAAGAATCTGCCTGCCAATGCAGGAGACTTCTGAGATGCGGGTTTGATTGTGGATTAGGAAGATCCCCTTGAGGAGGAAATGGCATTCCACTCCAGTATCCTTGCCAGAAAAATCCCATGGACAGAGGCGACCATGGGGTCACCAAGAATTGGACACAACTGAGTACTCCACTCTTCTTCTTCCTTCTGGCTTATTGATCTTACTGAACCACTATTTATTGAATATCCACAACAACCAAGAACAAAGTGTCAAGGGCGTGCTTGTCTCATCGACTCACTCAGGGTTCTCTTTGGGAAAGAAACAGAAATTATTGGATCAATTTACTCTAAATGCTCAGTTGCTCAGGGTGTCCAATTCTCTGTAACCCTATGGACTGTAGTCATCCAGGTTCTTCTGTCCATGGGACTTTTCAGACAAGAATACTGGAATGGGTTGCCATTTCTCTAAAAAGGATGTTTTTATTCATAGGTTAATGTGATCAAAAGAAAACTGAGACGAAAGTAAGCCAAGTAACAAAACTATGTGCAAGGTTACTATCAACCCAATTTACACATAATATATGATTTTCATTTACTATCTATTAGCTACTATATCTGTAAGTATATAAAAATGTTGAGTTAATTATGAATAGTATGCAGACTCTGTGTGATTATAATTTAAATTAGATAGTGGTGAAGTCTTTAGCCAGAAGTTTCTGGGCTTGACTTATCTCTTCACTTCATCCATCACCCTGATTTTATTTTTTTTTATTGCCCACCTCAGATATGTACTTGTATACCTTGAAGGGAATCTGTGTTCTCCTAGCCTTTCTTTGTTTCAGTGACAATATTAGAATTCCCAAAACAGCCACTCTCATGTTCTTCATCTTTCTAAGTTTTTAAACTCAGAGGGTTTCCATTGTGCTAACTATTCACAATTTTCCTAAGCAGTTGCTATAGGAGTAAGAATTGGGGAACCGGTAGGTGTTGCATCTGAATCTCTCTACATTTTGGTCTCTCTGACACTGCCAGTCCTGGTCTTAGTAACTGTCCCCATCCTAGCCTAATCTGTTGAAATAACCCAGCTCCCAGGCACCCAGGTTCCTGCTGTTGGCATGGCCCTTTCTTTAAGAAGGGTAAAATGCATTGTCTATCTAAGGAGTATACACAGCTCACCTCTAATTCAGGACCCATGTGTCCATGTGACAAATGCCCTTGAAAACTGCACTGTTTCTTAGCCCAGGTTCAGAGAACAGCAAGTGTTGACAGGGAAGGGACAGCGGTTTGCAAGGACTGTAGACAAGCCTCACTAGGGAAAGCATGAGATAACCACTCTTAAGGACCTCCGTGTGGAGCAGGTGGAGCTGTTAATTCCAGTCTTGATTTCTATGCCAGAGGAGAGCAAAGCTGCCCAAGAATAACTAGAGAGTAGAAACAATCAACTTTTGGTCATTTTTAAAAT